CCAAATAAATGCGGAAAAATATGAAAAACATAATAAAACGAATTTATAAAGAAAGTCGATCTTATTTCCGATTCGCGTAAGAGCGTTGCGATCATTACAAGGAATTACAAAGGCTTTGGCCGCAGGGGCCATCAGCGAGTTACAAACATAAAACCCTAGATTTAGTTGAGTCGCAGCTCGATAACGAAAAACGGAAAAACTGAATGATTTCGGACTGAACCTTATGAAAGGCTGCCTACGTACCCCTTTCGGGGATCAAGTCGAACGTAGTTCAGTTGATAGAGCTGGAAAAGAGATCGAACTGCCTGGGCGAGTTCGTCTAGTAATTGAGCGCCAGTCATAGAAACCGAACTTGTCGAGAGAAAGCCTAAGTTTCTAAGTGCGGAAAATTCTAAATCTAGAAAAGTTGTGAAAGTCTCAGATGAGAGCTCTGGATTTCGTCCCTCAGCTTCTGCCCTATGCCTCCTCCTTATATACTCCTTCTTAGTCGGTTTTAGTCTTTCCATTTTGCTCGAAACCGAATATTTCGGGAACTTTCCATATCTTTCGATCCTTCCTTTTCTTTTGCGGAAATCTTCTATTTATCTTCAAACTTGCCTTTTATCTTCCGTCTGCGAGTAAACCGTCAAAGCGTTATCGTATCTTGGGGTTTGATTTCGTTAACGTCACGAGATGGGTTTTTATCGTGTTTTAGGACCTTTCGGGCCGTTTTACGATAAAAACCGTTTTACGACTTTAACGAGACTATTTCCTGATCCGATGCCGTTTTTTTACGATTCTCTCGACGTTTTTTATTTAAAACGAGTTTTTTATGATTTTAACGAGAAATCGCGAATAAATCGTATAGTTTAGGCAATGTTTGGTGTTTCGTTTAACCGTTGCCGTTTTATACGATTTCCTCGAGTTCTTTCCGAGAAAGCGAAGTTTTACGGTTTTTATCGTAAAACTTGAATGATAGGTCGGATCGAGACGGAACGGGAGACGTTTCGGCCGTGGTTCAGAATGTGACCGTGTCGAAAGATGTAAGTTTTGAATCGGGGATGCGGGAGATCGAGGCTCGGGATGGTCGGCTCGACGTACGGCGAGCTAGTTCAGCTTGGCTAGGTCGCCATATGGCGAACTAGGCGAAAAGAACCAGTGGGGCAAAGTCAGCACCTCTTAGTTCGCCCATTGGCGATCTAGCCGGGACGGGACTAGTTCGCCGTTGGGCGAACTAGTGGAGTGTCCCTAGTTCGCGTTTTACGGCTGTTTCGGTTTTTTGCGGTTTCGTAAAACGATTCTTCGAGTTTTATAAAACATTTCTTCGAGTTTTATAAAATGATTCTCGAGTTTTATAAAACGATTTTCGAGTTTTATAAAACGATTTTTCGAGTTTTATAAAATGATTCTCGAGTTTTATAAAACGATTCTTCGAGTTTTATAAAACGATTCTCGAGTTTTGTAAAACGATTCTTCGAGTTTTATAAAACGATTCTCGAGTTTCATAAAACGATTCTTCGAGTTTCATAAAACGATTCTTCGAGTTTTATAGAACGATTCTAGAGTTTTATAAAACGATTCTTTGAGTTTTATAAAACGATTCTTCGAGTTTTATAAAATGATTCTCGAGTTTTATAAAACGATTCTTCGAGTTTTATAAAACGATTCTCGAGTTTTATAAAACGATTCTTCGAGTTTTATAAAACAATTCTCGAGTTTTATAAAACGATTCTTCGAGTTTTATAAAACGATTCTTCGAGTTTTATAAAACGATTCTTGAGTTTTATAAAACGGTCCTCGAGTTTTATAAAACGATCCTCGAGTTTTATAAAACGATTCTTTTTATATTTCTGCGGGGAGTTTCGGCCATTGATTCCGTCATATCGATTTTGACCCCAACATTATACGTGCACACGCTTGTTGACGTTTTAAATCTCTGACATATAGGACTGCATGAATTTAACAAGCCTTGGACTGATATTATGTCTTTGGGCCAGCTTGATTTTACTACTAGGAAAAATGGTAATATGTGATGTTCTCTTTTGAATGCAAGTCTTTTTAGTTCATCAGTATTAGCAATGAGTAAAATCTGGGAATCCCAAAATATAGCTAAAAGGAATCATTTTAGCATGAACTTATCTGCTTCTCATCACATGAATCAATTGTAATAGTGATGATTCAACTCATGATATTATCATATGTCAGCTTTTTTACTATGGATTATGTTTGTATTTGCTTTCGGTGTGAGGTTCAATACGTTGTATAGCTACAAGTAATTTATTGTCAACAAATCAGTTTGTTAGTGTTTGATGAGGTTAGGCAAAGTTGATAAAAGACCAGTTAGTGTAAACAATTCTAGGACTCTCCGTTGCATGTCCTGCGATATATTGGTTTGTTCCTCTATTTTGATGAATTGTGTGGTAAAAAATTATTGATGTTTACAGATACTGGACGGATGAAAAAGGATCTAGCTTCTGGTTGACAAAAGCGAGAACCTACAGTTCCAAGCGGATCGCTTACAGAGACAAGGGAGGCAGCTAAGAAGGAAGATGTGGATACAAAGCCCGCAGATGATGGTGAGAGGTACTGTTTTGTCCTTTATTCTCATTGTTTAGGTTGTTGCTTTCGGAGGTTTCAAATGTTCGTCATGATGTTTGGTTTCCTTATGCATGCTCGCATTGCACCTCTCCGAACCTGTAAAAGCACATCATCATCATTGCCACAAGCTATCTATAATTGTTGTATATATAGATAAAGTTTATGTGGTTAAGTTTTAAGCTAGGTTGCATAGAATCGGAAACGGATACGTGGAAACGAAACGTTTCGAAAAGTGGAAACATGATTTTCAAAAAAAATTAGAAATGAAAACGTTTTAGAAACGTCTATAATATATATATATATATATATGATTATTCAACATGTAAACCTTTTTTTGTTTAATTTATCTAAGAGAAAAAAAATAAATAATATAAGTTTTTTTGTACATTTTATTAAAATTATAATCAATAACTAGAAAAGTAACACATGTTACCGTTAGATAAAACTATGGAGCGACTTCCTTCCAAATCAAATCATTATACTAAAATGATAACAAATATCAAAAGATAATATTAAAATATAAAATAATAAACATGTAATCACTAACATCAAATCCCAAATAGTTATTTTTTGCGTTCTAATTAGAATCACGAGTTTCCAAATCAGAAACACAAGTTTCTATCATGTTTCCAAAATGAAATTTTCAAGAAACGTGTTTCCAAAAAGTTTCCTCGAGTTTCCAAGAGATTCTGATTCTGAAACGTTTCCGAAACAGGAAAGGGACCTTGAACGGAGTTTCCATGCAACCTAGGATTTAAGGATATTTGTATGGGGTCATATAAAATCACGTTAAGATCAAAATTTCTTAAGGTTGATAAACCTTGAATAAAAATTAGCTAACTTCTCAAAAGCACTAATAGTGTAGACATGTTTAAGATAAACTAAGTGTTTTCTTGCACTATGTGCAGAAATAAAAGTTAAAAAAAATAAATTATATTTAAAAATAAAATTTCCTTTTACAGCATTAATTTTATGTTAACTATGTGTAAAAATTAAGATAAAATAAATAACTCTTATTTAAATTTATATTTAATATTATATATGTATATAATAAAAATTATATTCTTGGAAATATTTTTATCTTTTTTGGTTAAAATATGTTAAATCGGATTCTATACAATTAAGAGAATTTTTTAGGTATCCAATTTTCAAAATATAAAATTGAATAATATTTCTAAAATTTATAGATGTTATAAATAAACTAACGGTATTGACATTAGAAAACTACAATTTGTTTTAAAAAAAAATCCGCATAAAATTTTAAAGAATTTTTGTTAATAAAACTTGTATAATTATAAAAATAGACTTAAACAATATTTCAAAATAAAATTTAACTATTATTATATGTCTAGTTCTACTATTATATTATTTATTCTTATATTAATAATGATTTTATGAGTTACCATATTTTAAAAATCTACCAAAAATATAATTAAAATTAAATGTAAATGTTTATATCACTATTAACTCCAAGTCATGTCTTTGTTATTAGTGCACAGGTCATAATTTTCGGTAAAATTGATTGTGATAATGACACATGTCAAAATCATTTCACAAATAATGTATAAGAGATGTTAGATAAATCGCTAGGCGTTTGAAACTATTAAATGTATTTTTTAACATATTTTATTTATTTTAAAGTGTAATTTGAATTTATGAGCCAATGGTTATTACCTTTTTTTGTCAGTCGAAATTTTATTACAAACAATATCAGAATTTACAATGGTTCCAAAAACCTTAGGCAAATATCAAATAAAGAAGAAGAAATGAGGGCATGTTTAGCCAATGTATATTCATTTGTGTGTCGAGAACACATATCAAAACTCTGCTGCTAGAAATAAGATCTTCCATTGATGTATCTTTGTCATGATCACTTTAATTGTTATTATCACCTTTAAAAATGATATTTCTTTAAAACTGATATATCTGTAACCTAAAGACTAGCATGCTTGCATAGACCATAAAAGGGTAGTACCCTCTGCTTCCAAAGTAGTTGATCTTTCTTCAAACTGGTCCATTATTTTGGGAAACTACTTACAAAAGTCCTATAAATAATAATATTAATATAAATATTTAACAAGTTTTTTTTTAAAAAAAGGTCCTATAAATAATAATATTAATATATGTTTTGAAAAAAATATATTAATATTTGTATGGGCCAAAAATTCTTACATAGCCTAAAAAGGTTATTGTTATTTAGGCCGCCCATAAAGGCCCATCAAGAGGTTTCTGATAAATGCAGTCCTCTTCCTCTCTCCCTTATCCTTTCACTTCACAGTGCTGTAATGGCGATTCCAATGGCAACGGCCACACCAACAGACTCCGCGAGTAGAGTTTGGAGCATGTCTTCTCTCAGATCAGCTCTTCCCTCCGCCACAACTTGCCGGATGCCTTCCTCTACTTCTCGCCGTCCGGTCACTATTCGTCTCCCCGTCTCGTCTCCGTCACCGCTCCTTCTCCCATCTTTCTCTGGCCTATCTCCAGTCAATCCTCTCATCTCAACCGGACTTCCAGGTCGGTTACTTGGTATTGGATAATTCGGGTAGAAGAGTAGGATCCACTTTAAGAACCGAGAAAATATTGGTTCTGATCGGTTCGGATAATAAAACTAAAATCCGGTTAATACTTAGGAAAATTAAAATTTGGTTCGGATGGGTTTGGATGATAAAACTAAAAGCCGGTTAATCCTTTGGGAAGACCGGCTTGGTTCATGTTCTGTAATTCGGGAATAGAAATATAGAAATTGTTTGGTATTCATGTTCTATTTCCGGTTTTTTCGGTTTGGTTCTTGGAGTCTCGGATAAAATGTCCAAGCCTACTCTAACTACGTCAACTTTGGTTGAATCTCCAAAATCTTAAGGTGTTTTCTAAACGCAGATTGGAAAAGCTTAAAATTTGGAAAATTAAAATTTGGTTTGGATCGGTTCGGTTAATAAAACTAAGAACGGGTTATTACTTGGGAAAATTTCCGGTTTGATTTCTGAATAAAATATGGAATAGTTTGGATAGTTCGGATATAGAAACATAGACATTGGTTGGTATTTATGAGTTTCGGTCTGGTTCTATTTCCGGTTTTTCGGGTTGGTTCTTCGAAACTCGGATAAAATGTTTAAGCCTATTCTAACCACTTCAACTTTTGTTGAATCTTCAAAATTCTTAAACGTGTTTTGTAAACGCAGATTGGAAAAGCTTCGAGAATGGCTTCAAGATCATTGACGGTGGTGGTCGTGTATACGCAATGAGGCACGGAAGAAGAGTCCCGAAGCTGAACAGACCTCCGGACCAGCGGAAAGCTCTGCTCCGTGGACTCACGACGCAGCTCTTGAAGCATGGGAGAATCAAGACGACTCGAGCTAGAGCAAGTGCGATGAGGAAGTTTGTTGATAAGATGATCACTCTTGCTAAAGATGGGTCTCTGCATAAGCGAAGGCAAGCTCTGGGGTACATCTACGAGAAGCAGATTGTTCACGCATTGTTTGCTGAGGTTCCGGATAGGTACGGGGAGAGGAATGGAGGGTACACGAGGATCATTAGGACTCTTCCAAGGAGAGGTGATAATGCTCCTATGGCGTATATTGAGCTTGTTTAAGTGGCTGTTGTCGTTTTCATTGCATAATTGCTTGACTTTTGTTTTGTAATTGACGGACTTTTGGTAAATGTGGTTTCTTTCTCATATTGTTTGGTTCAGAGTTTGGAAGTGAGAGTTTGGAATTGAGGAGATGTTTCCTTGAGGTTTCTTGTTAAGAATTGATACGAGAGGCTCTAGAACTCATATCTTAGGTTTTGGGTTTGTTCTGTTCTTTTTTTGTAAAGCAAAACCAGTTCTAAATCTAGCACACTATATAAAACTTTCAAACTGTTCAAAAAATTATGGTGGAGTTGGAAGGAGGATAGAGAGTAGACAAGCATGAAGAATAGGATAATTCGCAGCTTAGTGCTTAGATCTCATTCTTGGTTCTGCAGTTTCATGGAAGGAAAGTGGAGGTTGATCTTACAATCTGATATAGCTACCCAAGTGTTTCTTGAAGATTCCTAACAACTTGAGTTTTCCTGGGATCTTTGTCTTTGTTTTGCAACACAATCTTTCAGCAAACACACTTATTGGTCTTTGAGAGTAAGAGGACATGGGAGAATCGATGAACCTCTGGACGGGAAAGTACCCGAAACAAGATCGATACCACCCACTTGCTTATCCCAGTATGTCATCCTTGTCTCATGTTTGAGACTCACACTGTTGCGATGCTTCACAATGAACCTGGCGACTTGAGTGTGAAACTGAGCTGAACATCAGACGTCAATGCCATGGCCAAGGCAACATGGTGAAAATAAGTAAAAATGCAAAGTTTTAAGTTCTTGTCTAGTATTTTGCAGAGCTTGGACCCACTAACAGAAACATGGATTATAGATGAAGTAAAGAAGACATGCTTTGAATGCAATTTGAGCTGCCAACTCTATGACAGTAATTACGATCTAATTTGATTTCTTTTTGACTTTTTTTTTCACATGAAAAAGTTGAAAATAGACATTTGTTTCGTTGACACACAGATTTGTAATGAGTCAAACGTGTTACTGCTTTTAGCTGCATTAATTTGAGATCTTAACAGATGGAAAAGAAAAACAGATGAAACGAAGAAAGACAACGCCTTCTGATTTTATTTATTTATAGCAAATAATACATACACAAGAGATCAAAGACTTCAAGAACAAGAAGACAAAGTATAGATATAAAGAATAAGGAGACTACAGCTTAGTTGAATACTTACATTGTTGACTCGTAACATTACGACTCGAAACAGAGATTGTAACATCGCAGGAAACAGACGACTTGACACTAATCTTAAAGATATTGAAAACATGTACTTTCCCGGCGACTTTAACGAAAGTATTGACCGGGATTGAACCCGACATGACGTCACTGAAAACCTCGGACTCTGAGAGTAGTCTATCCGCCATTAGAGTAAGCTTTACGTTCATACGCAGCGTTTTCTGCGCGCCTACTCTGTTCGCGGGGAGCGGCGCTTCTCCGACCAACTGGCCTTTGTAGCTAAGCAACGCCGACGTGGAACCGAAGCTGAATCCGACCCGGTTTGGGTTTTTCAAGGTGAGATGGGCTTGGAGTGTTAGGTTTAGGTTGGCCTTGAGGTTCAAGGCATCGACGGAAGTTCGAAGCTGGTCGACGAGGACGGAGTCCACGGTGGCGGTTGGGTTTTTGGGTTTGAAGAGAGTGAGGCCTAAGATTAGTAGAACAATAAATATGAGGAGGAGGATGATGAGAGTGACGCAGATACAGATTTTAAGGTTGCGTTTCTTTCTTTTACTACCGCCGCCGACGCCGTTTGCAAATTGCGTTTCCATGTCACCGTTTGACTTGGGTGCTTGTGCTGCTAACATGGGTGCTCCTGGCTTTTCCTTTGCATCATCCGAGTTCATTGTGAAGCCTCTCTCTCTCTATATATATGCCTTTGTAGTTCTTTGAGCTGTTTTCTGTGTTTTTATTTTTTGTTTATTTGTTCTTCCAAAAGACAGACTACCTGTTACATGTATTTATACCATTTTTTTACTTAAGAATAAAGTTTTTGTTTTGTTTTATGGATTATAATATATCTACATTTGCCACGGCCTTTACACTTTAATCATTTTGTTTTACTTACGGCATTAAATAATTGTAAATGGTCTGAAGTTTTGAATACACTTTCTAGAAATGTATGTGGTCAATGCCAGAATACAGTGTTGGGTATACGTTGAACAGCGTTGAAATGAATTTTGATTAATTAAATTAAAACTAACTTCGTGATAAAACGTGTATCATTTTAATTATTAGTAGTATTAATATTTTTGTTTTTCAACGAGTGCATTGATTGAATTCTCTCACAACTAGAATTGCAGGAAGAATGGAGATAATAAAATAATAAAGAAGATAGAAATCATGGTGATCACATGGCTTGGTATGAGGGTTCTGTCGCTATTTGCTCATTTCGTGTGCTGGTTTACACTATATGCTCAATGAATAAATCAACCGTCTTTGTCTGGGCCCAATCCTTCATTTTACAGGGGACGACATTACAGTTAAGATTCTTCAACTACAAGATAGAACAACTGGGTTTCTAGGCCTTAAGAGAGTCGTCGGGTCATTTCACTTTTCCATTTTGAAACAGAGTGGGGATGAAAACATCATCAATATTGTAACACTTTGTTACTAAACCCCCCAAGATTTAGCACAAATGGTTTAAACTCAGAAGATTCAACAACATTTGCGATCCCTTCCAAAACATCAAACTAATTTTTAAAACCAAGAAAGAACAACAAATTAACAAATATCCTAATTAGAGCATCTCTAAAAGAAACTTATAATTTTAAATATAGAGTTTTTTGCTCTCTAAAATACTCAAAACTCTAAATTTAAAGTTTCATCTTTTTAATTGTATTTTGGTCCTTACAATTACAAATAAAATTTATAATTCATAAATAGTTTTTTATCATTGTAATTATTAAACTTTTATATCTCATAAATATTTCAAATTAACTTTCACATTTTTTATAAATTTCAGTTTTAGACATTAAACTAAATAAAAATTTAAAATAAAATTTATAAAATATATGCATGTAGTTTAGTATTTTAAATTATTTTGAAACTAAAATTAGACAACAAGAATGTGGTAGTCTGATTATAGTTAATATTTAATTATGTATTTGTATTTATAATTTTATATTTTAGAGTAATATTTTATTAATTAATATTAATATAATATATATATATATATATATAAATTTTTAACTGGCTTTCATATTAAAATTAAAGAAAGAAAACACGGAGTTTACAGAGGAAAAAAAAAGAAAAGACAGGCTAAAATTAGAACAACATCAAAGGTATTAAAAGAAGATAAAGGAGGAAAGTCACAATGGTTTTGAAGCCACGCAAGTAGATGTAAAAGTTGTGCAGAAGCAGAGAAGCTACACCTTTAAACCGCAGACCAGAGAACCACCAAACTCGAACCAAGGTCAGAGCCAGAGCTACTCATAACCGTAGACTTTTCCTTAGCTGGTTTGATGACATCTCGAGATAACAACCAGTGAGGTTTTGTAAGACCGTTATGGAAACGATCATTTCGCTCTTGCCAGATAGCATATATAACCCCATTCCATAGTTGAAGCAAAGCTTCGAATCTAGGATGGGTAATGGAGACGGAAGATAACCATTGAAGCACAGAATCCCATTGAACAGGAGGGGAGGCGAAGCCAAGAACCCCGACAGTAGCACTCCAGACAAGAGCAGAGTATGGGCAGAGAAAAAAAGATGGCCCCTTGATTCAGGAGCACTTCCACAAAGAAGACAGCAGTTGTCAATATCATAACCCCACGATAACAAGCGATCCATGGTCGGGTTGCGGTTCAGAACAAACAACCAAGAATTAATCATAAGCTTAGGGATTATAGCTTGATTCCAAATAAATTTTGCCCAAAAAACCTGTGATTTTACTGTCGTAGTCTCTTGCCATACTGCATTGGCAGAAAATTTAGAACAAAATCGATCTCCGACTTTCCCATAAAGCAACATCAGATCCAGATGAAGCAGAAAACGTAGTGAGGTAAGCCTGGAGATTTACTTGCCTCTCAGACCTTGCAGGACGCAATAACCAAGATGAATTGTGAGTGATGGTGGAGACCAGGGAATCAAGCGGAATACCCAAATCTACAGGACCAGGGCCCAAATAATCCTTATAGACCCCAAAAGGCGTCCAAGGATCAAACCAGAAGAAAGTTTATTCTCCTCATCTCACCATGATGTGAAGGAAAGACAAAGCAATAGGCCGGAGCTTTAAAAGTCTTCGAAACGTCCAAGAGATAGAGTAGTTGCGTGAATTGAGAGACCATAAAGAGCCTGACGTTAGGTATTTGTTTTTAACCCAAGCAACCCATATAGATCCAGCTCGGAAATAAAGCATCCAGATCAACTTAATGCCAAAAACTATGTTCCAAGATGTAAGCCCCCTGATACCAAGACCACCTTCATTTTTTGGAGAGCACAAAGAATCCCAAGCGACTTTAGCAGATGTATTTTCAAGGTTTCCATGCCATAGGAAGGATGAGAGCAGGCTCTGAATCATTTTAAGGACCTTCTTTGGAATACAAAAGGCAGAGGTCCAAAATCTGAGAATACCTGGAATGGTAGAAGAAATAAGCTGGAGTCTTCCAGCCATACTTAGATGGCGGTTCATCCATCCATTAAGTTTCCTCTTAACTTGCGAGAGCAGCGGATCACAGTCACGAACTGATAGCTTTTTAGGGCAAAGAGGCAAACCCAGGTATCGCACAAGGAGTTGAAGCGATTGCAACCTAAACTTATTCAGAATATTTTGCTGTGTTTGAGGCGAGAGACCCGCAGAGAACATTGAAGTTTTCGACATATTAACTTCAAGTCCCGAGAACTTTTCAAATTGGGACAAAACCGTAAAGATCCCAGCTAAAGAGGTTTCTGTGCCATCCATAAAAATTAATAGATCGTCTGCAAAGGCCAGATGAGTAAGCTTTGTTTCCACACAGCCCGGATGATAGCCAAATATTCCATCTTCTGCTCCCCTGTTTAACATA